AAAACGCTTAATTTGATTTAGCTAATAATGTAATGGTTAGTTAGCCTCATTCATTAAGTCAAACCCATGCACTCGCTTAAAAAACTAACAATAAATACTTAAAACCTGAATAAAGCGCGACGATCTTAAACGCGTGTCACCGGTGCAATCGATCGCGATCTACAATCGTCAGTTCGCGCGGGCGCGGGTCACACCGGTGAACCGCAATAAACCGGTCTATTCCACCACTCGCGAAAAAAAGTAAGAGTGAACGAACACGACTTGTAAGTAAACGAAAGAGATAGATATATTGAATCACCTTCGTAGAAGACTCGATCATTTTGTTTGCGAGCAATCAGTTACATACAATAACGCTATTATAATAAAGTGCAAATTGGCTTGCGTAGGTAGCGGGTCAAATAATCAAATCTTTTAAAGAACCGTGATTCGATGACTCGTCTACAGTTTAAGATCGAATCGAAACGATTCGATCAATCGCAATCGACACAGGTCTATCAAAGATTACAGGAGTCTGACATAACCACATGCGATCTAAATATGGGATTCGAAACCAACCAACCGTTCCAATTAATTACTTTGGCTCTTAGGCTAGACTCTGTGCTGTAGTCTCAGTTTCAAGTCACTTTTGTCAAACTTGCTGTAGTTGTCATGGCAACCTTGAAGCAAGTCTTCTTTTTTGATGTATCAAACTTGTTGCAAGTCAGAAACAAGTTTAAATTGCTATCTGGGAAACCTCTCATTTCTAGTATATGATATTTCAGATGGGGATATTTTCTAGGATATGAAAAAAGTCCAAAATAACACCTATTCACAAAAACAATAAAAATACTTTATAGAAGATTATAGACCTATTTTCAAACTTTGTGTCCTGAATGAGGTCTGGAGAAAATATTAAGCACTCGTAAATCGTGATAATTAGAGTGTTGAAATTTTCACAGATGATGTATTTCTGTTGCCGCTATAACAACATATATTAAAAATCACAATAAAATAAAAGTATTTAAGAGGCTCCCATACCAAAAACGTGGTTTTGTTGCGTTTTTAAATAGATAGTGGTACGGAAGTGGTAGATAGTGGTATGTGCGCGGTACCCACTCGCACTTGGGCGGTTAAATTTATCTAATTACAGTATATATTTATTAATTCGTCATGTTAGTACACGAATAGTACCTTTTACTTTTTACCAATTATAGAAATACATACATCAACATCGTCTAGGGATATTTTGCATAAAGTCCTAAATAAAAAAAATATTGGCCGGTTTTAAAATCTTTTGATGAAAATTTATTTTGTGCGCCTTTTTTGATGATTCCAAATTTGAATTAAAAAAAAATAATTTCAAAAAGATTTGCGTGGCATAATTCAAGCGAAGTTCAAGGTTTTCAATTAACCTACCACAGTTTTTGAAGAATTTTTTGTGTTAATCGATAGTTTTAAAACAAGTTAGCTATTTAATTTGAATTTGTGCTACTGTATGTATTATTCAGCGACACCATTTAACGATTATAGTCACGTTATCGTGCTACTGGTGAAGTGGCTGAAAGACACCTAGGCGGAAAGTGCATAACCACCCAACGACAAGTCTGATTTTTGAAAATTGCTGCGAGAAGGCAACCAAATGTTACGGCCATGCAGTTGGTTGAAAGGCTCCAGTTACAGCACCAGTTGCTCGTGAGTGACCAAACTGTGAGGAGAAGACTGCATGAAGCTAATCTTCATGCTCGCAGACCGCTTCGTACTCCTGCACTACGCCGAGGAAATCGTGGAAGAAGATTACAGTGGGCTCGTGAACATTTGCTCTGGAAAGGCAGCCAGTGGTCTGTAGTGCTGTTTACCGATGAGTCCCGATTCGGTTTCCATTCTGATAACGGAATAATTTCGCTATATTTTTCACTTTTTCTTAAAAAACACATTTATCGTTATTTTTACCATTATTCTACTTTTCGTTTTTACTTAAATAATTTATTTTTAGCTACAAAAATATTTGTTTTATTCTATAATCTACGCTAATAAAAGGGCTTTATAAAAATATAAACATGTTGTATGTTATTCAGAAAAAAAAAACTGAGAAAATTAAGAATAATTAAAACATCCCTAGACGATGTTGATATGTGTATAATGCTGCTATTTTAATATTGCTACAATGACAAAAAAAGAACAATGGAAAAATAAAGAAAAACAAAAATAGGAATTGCCTACGTGTGAGAAAATCCATTGGTAGGTACTAATTATTATTTATGTCGCCTTAGAGAATGAATTCAATCTTCTGTCACCGTACCGCCCATGGCGAGGCTTAGCCAGCAATAACTCACGATGAGCCTTACAAATAACACCATTCCTTTTTAATAAAAATTTCTGTTAAAACAAGACTTTAGTACCTAACTATAGAGCAGATAATATCTAACCACCAGTAATATATGCTTAGCTCGATGGAGTAGTGGATAAGCGCCGCGGCCCGCGATCGTTGTTGTTAAGCAACTTTCGCAAGGGTCTATCACGGGATGGATGACCAATAAATTTTATCTCGAGCTACTCCGTGCTTCGGAATGCATGTTAAGCCGTTGGTCCCGGATACATTTGCAGTAGTTATACCTTCCAATCCAAATTGGCTGGCGTGGAGATTCGTGGCCCATCCTTTTTCACCATTCATAAAGCCTGAGCCCTGAAGAAGAGTAAGTATCAGAAACAGAATTAATTTTAAATACAAATACAGAACAACGTTAAAAAAATACAATATTTTAGGGTTGTGTCCTACAAGTGAAGATACAGGTTTCTGTTAAATGTTCGGAAAATATGAACCATTTTAACTTACTAAATATATATAATATAAAATTTTAACAAAATAAATTTCATGACACTAATTTTGAAAATATTACGGTTTGAAAAATTGAAAAATGTAGGGAAAATATATTACAAAAATTTGCTAAAATACAAGCATTAAAACAACAATTTTCATTCTAATAGCTATAAACATAAACGCACAAATAACGAAGATATTATCAAGATTGCTCAGATTTGTAAAGATTGCAAAGAATTCCGCTACCGTAGCACTGTGTGACGTCATTTAGTGGTTTGAATTTTAAGGGAGCGTTTTCGGCCGCCTAGCAGCAATCCATAAAGATAGCACCATATCTCCAAAACTATTACAGACATACTTTTGCTTTGTTCTTGGATATTAATAACGCCAAAGTAACGATATTGTTCATTAATTATTCTTTAAAAAAAAACGTTGCAATCGCAATCGCTATTACATACCAAGTCGTTATAGCGTGAATTTCGTATCTTTCAAATATCATATCGATAGAGGTAGATAGAGTTCAAAATTAGAAAATTAGGCAACTATATTTCGGATCCTAGCTGCGTCTGTAGGTTAATATACACCAAACTGGACCCGCGTGGTGTGTCATAGCCCATCCTATTCAAAAATAAAATAAAAAAACAAAAATCAAAATTATTTGTTTAGTCTAGGCTGTTACAAGCACTTGTGACAGTCGAGAGCTACGCCATCGGTTCGTAAATCTACGGCGGGAGACCTTGTACCGAGAAGAACCGGCAAACCTCAGCAAGGGCTGCTTTTTTCTCCCTGTTTTATTTCATACAGAGCGTCAAGATTGAAAAATGTCATCATTAATATTTGAAGTCACTTTCCATTACAATATAAGAGTAAAACAGTATTTTCGTCAATCCAAACACATGGGTCGCTAAAGAAGCTCACCGATAAATAATTTAATATATATTAAAAATTAGTCATATTTAACACCAAGCAGTTTTGTCGTTTAAATATTCATTAACAGTATAATATCCTTTACTGAGTAGACAATTCTTAATATGGGTTTTAAACTTAGGTAATGGTAAATTTAAAATTTCCATAGGAATTTTGTTATAGTAGTGTACACCTTGATCCACAAATGATGATAGAACCTTCTTTAGCCTGCATGACGGCATTCGATTCCATAATGAAGGCCTCTGTCCTAGCAGTGGGTACGTTATCGAAAGATTTTTTAAAATGATTTTATTAGATTTTAATTCTTTTATTGATAATCATATAAAAATATTGAGATGATAACATAACAAAAGTTGTAGGAAAGCAATATTCGTTCACTTCGACGACACACCAATGATAATTACTTAAATAATAACATCTGTTAACCATCTCATATTATTGAATATAAATGAATTTTTAATATTTAACAACATCACATACATAGCTCAGATTCTAAGATTAGTAGCTAAAGTCGTAATATGGAGTATCTATTAAGACAAACAGTAAAGCATAAAAATGAACTATGTATTAAAAATAAAAAAAGTATTTAAAAGAGGGAAAAAGAGCGATCCCCAACAGGCTGAATAACCTGTACAAAGAAAAAGAAAGAAAAAAGAAAAACAAATTAAAAAAGATAAAACAGCCGACCTGCTAAACAGTGGGAGAAACCTGCCAAAAAAAAAAAAAATATGGAGTATCTGACACTACGGAGACCACAACACCAAGACCCGAGACAATACAGAAAAGTTCATTTTCTACATTGACCCGACCGGTAATCGAACCCGGGACCTGGAGATATCAACACCTTGAAAACTGTGTGCGAACCACTCTGATACGGCGGTCGTCATTAAACAACTAGTAGCGTGTAATTAAAAATGATTAGATTTTATGCTTACTGACTACAACAATTATTTATTCACAGCTAAATTAGTAATTCAAAAATTCATAGTTTCGATTATGCATTATTTTCTGTCTTCATATATTACAATCTATCTAATAATCTACACAATTCGTAGAAATACTTTTCATTGATATATAAAAGATTTTATGTGAAATGTAGGAGTTAAATATTGCTCCAAAGTACATAAAATCAGTGCGGTTGAAAAGATACCGGGTGACATAAATACATTGGATAAGTTAAGAAGAGCGGCAGTTTCCATTCGAATTCAAGAGCAAAAGCTTCAAACGCGAAATGATCTGAATATTATTGGTCGCTATGTATCGTTCGTTTATATTTATGACATCATTTGTTTTAGTTATTGGTTCTTATGTTAAAAGAAATAATTATGGTACTAGTTTTGACGTTGTTAATTTTGAAAAAGCAAAGTTGCCAGAAATAAGTGACTTGGAAGTTTATGTGCATTCGTTACAAAGAATTATAGAGTTCTGTTCGCGAAATAAGAGTGATTTAGATTTGAATTTGGAATTTGGGTTGTTTCTGATGAGCGGTAAGATTTTAAGAGAAATAAATATTAGTTTATTGAGTGATTTATTCCTTAATTCTTGCTCATTCTTTTTCAGTGAATTTGAAATATGTTTTAAAGAAGAAACGGAATTCTTTACCAAAAGACTTAGACATTATATTAGAAAAGTTGGTGAAAGATAATGATGATTTATTCGATTACTTTACTTACATGTTTAATAAAGATCAAAACCCTAAGGACAGATCAAATAAGATGAGTATGTTTACATAAAAAATTTGTTTGCGAGGATTATGTTGTTTTAACTTTTTGAAAATCTTTATGTAGGTTTTATTTTAGGTATGGCAATGGTGTACGTCTCTAATTATTTTAATAAATCGTCATAAATAGATATGAAATTTAAAAAAAATATTTTTCTGTGGTATTCACCAAAATAAGCGTAATTATTACATTTGTTCAATGTTGCATTCACAATGCTATAATACTGAAAAATATGCTTAATGAAAAATGCTTAAAAATCCACATTGTCCCTGGTACTCTGAGATAGGACTCGAATCCATGACCTTACGCAACCCGTGCGACTGCTCCAATCACTGAGCTACCCAGGACCTAACAGGAATGCCGAATCTTGCAATCATTTGTTACTTTCGAAAATACGCTTTGTAGTTGAAGAAAATTTTATAGTAGTATTTATAGTTTATGTAAATGTAAAATTTTACAAATATAATAATTAGAACAATTTTTCACCGTCATCGAAAGTTTTAATATTTTTAAAAATATTTTATTTGGCTGTTTGGGTGGATTGCCTGAACATTCATAAAAATACGCTCTGTAGTGGCGAAAAGGTAACAAGTGCTTGAAAAATTCGTCAGTCCTCTTGGGTCCTGGGTAGCTCAGTGGTTAGAGTGGTCGCCCGGATTACGAAAGGTCGTGTGTTCGAGTCCCATCTCAGAGTGCCAGGGATAAAGTGGATTTTTTTTGGTATTTCTCATTAAGAATAAAAGTAATTAATCAGGAAAAATGAGAAGGTTTGGTGAATGATTAATTAAGGTTTCGTGTAAACGGTAACTTAGTAGAACATGTACAAATTCGGTGTGATACACTAAATCGATAAAGTTTTACGTTTTTAGAGTGCTCAACTATAAATAAGAAAATCGAATAGTTATTTAATTTAATTTTAAGCTGATTCAGTTTAGGCAATTCTTTTATTTTCCATGTTTTTTAAGGTAATATTTATGGTAAAGTTTCAAGTCTCACCACATCATCATCTTAATGGTTTTTGACGTATTTGTTAATAATACTCAAATGTTATTTCAGTAACATCTTTATTCTTAAACGAAACAAAATGGATAAATAGGATTCTTGAATATGATACTCGTTCAACGATATTTGGAAATGATGATCAATTTCAAGTTAATGAAAGATACGGATCTATAGACGAATATATAGAGGATTTAAATAATATTGATAGTTGGGTACCTACGCCAGGTTTGTCAGGTAAGGCTTATTATGTATTATCATCGATCTATTAATGTGACCACTGCGGGGGAATAACCCTATAATAAATAAATAAATATTTAACAACATCACATACATTGCTCAGATTCCAAGATGAGTAGCTAAAGCCCCCGTATTATGGAGTATCTGAGACAACGAAGGTACCACAACACCCAGACCCGAGTCAATATAGAAAAGTTCATTTTCTACATTGACCAGACCGGGAATCGAACCCGGGACCTCAGAGATAGCGACACCTTGAAACCGGCGTGCGAACCACTCGGCTACGGAGGTTTTACAATACCTTAAACAAATAGCACGAACGGTCCATAACCCACCAAGCTTATCCGTATGGGTTTGTGGGTGTTAGCTACTCCAGATGCAGTTGTTGTGCCTTAACGTGCTTTCCGAAGTACGGAAGTGGTCAAGTTGACGCGTAGACCAAAACACCAATTATACTATTGATTGAGAATAAAATAAATCCAAATAATCTGCAAACAACATCAGGTAGTCGTGTTCTTTTTTAAGAATTTTAATACTTTAGCAGCTGCTACCAAGGCATAAGTTCGCTGTCTTAACCATGTAATATATCTGAATTCTACTACAGAACCTCCGCAAATCGTTATCAAACTAATATTAATAGTGGATGGCACCTTAAACTATGTTTACTGCGTGATCTTCTACCATCAAAGTACATGTTTGCCCAAAATTAGTTTAGCTCAGTTTTGATACAGTCATTACCAGCTCTTTTATGTCCCCACTGCAGGGGCTCAGGCCTTCCTTACGGATGGTTAAGGAGGATGGGCCATGACCTTCCACGCTGGCCCAATGCGGATTGGAGGATATTAACGACTGCAAATGCAGCCGGGACCAACGGCTTAACGTGCCTTCCGAAGCACGGAGTAGCTCGAGATAATAACTTTTGGTCACCCATCCCGTGACCGACCCTTGTGAAAGTTGCTTAACGATAACGATCGCGGGCCGCGGCGCTTATCCACTACACCACCGAGCTACTCAAAGACACTCTTTGAGACAGTATTTATGTATAAAATAGAAATTACACTTACATTTTACTCTCGTAGATTATTTGCGTTATTCACTCAGTCCAGATTACCGTTGGTGACGTTAAAATATACCATAGTTATATTTTTTAATTTCAGATAAATGTTTCACATCATTGGCACAAAATCCAGATTATAATTTGATGTCAACCTCGAGGTGTACTTTGAACGAACCTTGTTATAATATGATTAAAAAAGGTAGCAACTTTGGATACGCGATGTCGCACAGGTGATATTTTATTTTACAAATGTTATTGGATTTTAATTAAGCTCTGCCTATCTTTTAAATAAATCGATGCAGCCGGAATAATGGGCTAGTGTGCTTCGGAAGGCAGTTGCGAGGAGTTGAACATAGAAAATTTTTGGTCACCCATCCTATGACCAACCCTTGCGAAAGATTCTTAACAATAATATAACAGACCGAGCGTGCTAACCACTGCGCCGTCGAGCTCCTCTTGTATTTAATTAATAAATATTTGCCAACTTCACAGACATCGATTAGAATTACCTACTGGTTGTAACGCTAACTGATATTCCGAATTTGTTTTCGATATGAGTTGAATGTTATTATCATCAGCTCCTTTACGTCCCCTCTTTAAGAACTCTCCACGCTCAATGCTGATTGGAGGGTATTAACGACTGCAAATGCAGCTTGGACCAACCGCTTAACGTGCCTTCCGAAGCACGGAGTAGCTCGACATATATTTTTTAGACACCCATCCCGTGACCGACCCTTGCGAATGTTACTTAACAACAACGATCGCGGGCCGCAGCGCTTATCCATTAAACTACCGACCTAATCGGTGCTGGCTAGATATTAAGATTTTTTTGTATCAACAGTGGTTTGATTCTTTTGATATAATTTATTCTTCGCACTGTCAAAGATACACACAAAATAAAAATTAAAGCTTAGCTCAAAAGTACACCAAGTTATTGCATTTTTCAGTAAATGCATGTATAAAATTTGGATTTTGTTAAAATATGATATACGGATAATTTTTGTTTAAATTAACATATAAGTTACTTTTATCCCATTAAATAAGCTAATACATAATTGTTAACCTATTATAGCTATATGTGTGTGAGCCATTGCTGTACACCGCTAGCGACTAGCTTATACAAAAGTTTAGATCTATTTATCTACACATATAAGAGCTAGATGCTATTGTTTTTTTAAACATAAAAAACTTATTTTAGATTGCTGTTGCTAGTAAACGCTCGACACGGTCGTGGTTGTTACATATTTTCTAATGAAAAAGACCGGGAGTTAGCCAAAAATTTTTGTAAAATGGCGTACGATGAAATAAAATTTGTAATAGAAAAACGTTATGATATAATCGATTTGATCCTGGAGCTGAGTGAGTAGAGCAATTTTAATAATCTTATTATTTAAAATATGTCCCCGTCAATTAAATTTAAAAATAATTTAACTCGTTTTGAGTTGTGTGGCCAGAAATACCTATATTGAAGTTACTAGATTTTTGTTTAGAAAAATAATCTATTTCAATGAAGTTCTAGTTAAACACAAATCAAAAAGTCTTAGCAACAAGTAAATATTAAAACAATGTGATGGTTTGGAGCAAAATATTATTTGATGTTGTTAAAAAAAAAGGTATAATAGTGCCTATTTTTCTTATATACATACATTGATCGCAAATTAAGCAGTTAAATCATTTGTATTGTGGTAAACCGAATTTTTATATTTGGTAATTGAAAATATAAGCAAACAATATTTTTGTCAAGGTTCCTTTATAAAAAAAAATTAATATGTTAATAGTATTAAACGTAATACAAAAAGGAAACAAATTTATAAAAGTTAACTTAAAAATAAAATGTTATAATTAATTCATACAATATCCAAATAATTATAATGATTTGGTAGCGTTATTTTTTTAATTAAAAATGATGTTATATGTGCATGACCAACTTCAGTGGCTACCTATCTCTCGTAGAAGAGATTGTCATATCTTATCACTCCTATGTTCCATCCTGTTTCACCCACCCACACTGCATAACCTCAAAGAGCGGTTCGTCTTTCACTCTACAAATCCTACTCGAGATCTGCGGTCTTCCTATAATTTATCATTAGTTATCCCTTCCCACAATACTGATTTCGTAGCCAAGTCATTTTCAGTTAAAGCAAACAAACTATGGAACTCTCAGCCTATAGATATTGGATGCGCGCAGTCACGGAACTCATTTATTAAATTAATAAATTAAAATTTTCCTCTAGCTGGACTATTTCTCTTGAACTTGCCCTCCATTACGTTATTATAGTATGTTTTATTTATTTATTTGTTTTGGACTATGTATTTGCATTAAAATATGTTCTCATGTATTGTTTCTCCTAATGCACTAAACCGCAGTTAATTTTTATAATCGGCATTGTTCCTTTAGTCTGGTAGAGATTACACATCATTTTGTGTCGTTAAAAGTACCTAGTTAAACGTACTTTATAAATGAATTTCATAGTGCAATAAAGAATATTAATTAATTAATTCGTGCAATAATAACAAAAAACAAATTTCGTAACACAACTTGTGATACTTAGAAGTTTTTGCTCTGTAAATTATTTATTACAAAATAAGAAACATCTATAGGTATAGGTACAAGCAATTGCCATAGAAAAATGTCGTATCTTGTTTTTTTTTATAAAACAAATATGGCATTGGGGAGCTTATAGCTGTATTAATATCTATTAGCTACTTAGTTAGAAGTTATAATGGACCTAACGCTTTATTTTCAGTTACCCTTTGCGCGTTGGACGGACACCCTGACTTCCTCCGGAAGGATTGGATGGCGAACAGTCTCCGATTCCAAAATAATGTCGGATGTTTCGGTGTGACTGTACCAACACAATTCGATGTGGAGTCAACTAAACATTACGAAGGCTCAAGAAAATGGACACTCTCTAAGAAAGATCAGCGAATACGGGGCGGATACTGCAATGGACACGTAACATCCGTTGCTGCGGCTGCTCTTAGTGCCGCCATTAGATACATTTTGGAAACTTATTATTGAAAAATAACAATTTGATTCAAAAAAAGGGAGATAAGTATAGAAATAATAATCTACCCTCAAAATCACGAATTAAGTGACATTAGTATGTTAATAGAAATTCTATTAAAATGATATTATACAATTTTATAGTAATATAAATTATAATGCTAAAATAATATTTATTTTAAAGAAATCGCATTGAAGAAAATCTACGAATTTTCAACTTGTTAAGCTCTCCTTGATATGAATATACGTATTAGATAATTGCTGTGCCCATGATTTCGTCCACTAGGAATGTAGCTTAAGTTAACCCTTATTGTAAAAGTGAAACAACAGCGAAAGTCCCATCAAAATTGGCCCAGCCGTTTCAGAGATTATCCGAAACAAAAAAATAGACAAAAAATGAAGAAAATGTTGTTTTTGTATTTGTGCCATGTATAAATACTGTATTTAGTATTAGTGAAACGCGGTTATTTTAATATAACAAATACACACTCCAATTTTATTTATTTGTATAGATATTGATAGGGATGACATATTAGAAAACAAATCCAATATTATAGTCATATAATAAAAAAACTACATTAATTCTGCTTCTCGGCATTTACAAAACATTCTTCACAATCAGATCATCGATATTTCATGTCAGTATAAGTTTGCGCTATATTTGCTAATTTATCGGCGATGTTGATATGTATGTAAAGGGAAAATAGATAATTTTTTTGTAGTTTCATTTCAATTCTTTTCATAGAACTTATCTCGCGGTTACCCGATTAACACCTTCCATGTGGACATGTTCCAGGTACGTAGTATATTCTACCACATCAGTAACACACTTTCTGCATTAAAATGTTAAATTACTTGTGATTTTTTTGAATTAATGATCGTGCACTATTATTTTTAAGTAGCTCGATGGCAGTGGTTAGTGCGTGCGGTATGTGATACGATTGTTAAAGATCGCAAGGGTCGATCGTAGAATTGGTACCTAAAAATTGCTGCTTCTGATTTCATCCATAGGAGAGGCTTGTGCCTCAGCAATGGGGAAATTAATGGCCTGATGATGTTTATTACTTAAGTAAATCGTCGAGATATCATATACACAAGTAAGAATCAGTGGTTCTTAACCCGTGATCTGCAGACCACTGGTGGTTTTTGGCTATACAAGCACACTTACGTGCATAAGATGTAGGCTAGTACATACTTCATATGATTTTCAAGTGCTAGCAATAAGATTCAAAAGCCCTAATTTATTTATGTTAAAATCAAAGTCATGATATGTTGTCTGTATGAAGTTCACTTTCTCTAAAATTATTCAAAATTTGTGCCGCATTTATTAGAGCAGACACAACAGGCTCTTAAATTGCAGTTGTTTCTAACGCCAAAAGTACATAACTCAATATTGGCTAGGATGTCGCTTAATACATTTTACCACTGAACCCTCGACATAAACATTTGCAAGATATTCGGTTTACCATCTCATACCATTAAACCACTATCAGCGTATAATTCGAAATGACTAGATTTCATGCTTGCCTTGCGTGCTTTAAGTAACTAATCTAAGAATCATAGATTCGATTAAACAGTATTTTCTGTCTTCGAAATTACAATCGAGGAATGCTTACTCTTGATTTTTACAATTTCTAGTAATATTTTTATAGATTTTATATGCAAAGTGGGAGTGCGATATAACACCGATGTTTATTTGCCATTCGAATTCAACAGCAAAATCTTCTAACGTGAAATGATCTGAATATTATTGGTCACTATGTATCGTTTACTTATATTGACGACATCATTTGTTTTAGTTATTGGTTCTTATGTTAAAAGAAATAACTATGGTACTAGGTTTGACAGCCCAAAGTTGCCGGAGAAAAGTGACTTGGAAGTTTATGTGAATTCATTACAAAAAATTATAGAGTTCTGTTCGCAAAATAAGAGTGATTTAGATTTGAATTTGGTATTTGGGTTGTTTCTGATGAGCGGTAAGATTTTAAGAGAAATTAATATTAGTTTTTTGAGTGATTTATTCCTTAATTCTTGCTCATTCTTTTTCAGTGAATTTGAAGTATGTTTTAAATAATAAACACAAGTCTTTACCAAAAGACTTTGATATTTTATTAGAAAAGGTGGTGAAAGATAACGATGGTTTATTTGACTACTTTACTAATATGTTGGATAAAAATCAAAATCCTAAGGATAGATCAAATAAGATGAGTGAGTTTCGTATTGCAAATTTTGTAAAGATATATGAGGAATTTTTATATTTTTCATTAAAAGTTGTTTTTGAGATTAGGTATCGTCACGGGATACAACCTGTCTTATTTTCAGTGGGTTTCTCTAAAATAGGAATAATCAGTCAGCAAAAAGGGGAAAATTTTGGTGTAGATCTTAGTAATAATATTATTGCGAAAGTTATACATTTTTATTTGATTAACAAAATAAACTTTATCAAGATTTGTGACGTTAATTGTTAATAATACTCAAATGTAATTTCAGTAACATCATTATTCTTAAACGAAACAAAATGGATAAATAGGATTCTTGAATATGATACTCGTTCAACGATATTTGAAAATGATGATCAATGGCAAATGACAGAAGGATTTGGATCTATAGGCGAATATATAAAGAAATTAAAAGATGCTGATAGTTGGGTACCTACGCCAGCATTATCAGGTTAGATAAATTGGGCGTTATTGATAGTGATCATAAGAAACTTGTATTAAAGGTATCGAGTATTTATTACTCCTGAATTATAATTTTTTAATTATTAGGTTCTTAGACATTTTTTGCAAAAAGCACTTTTGACGTCGACGTGGTGACGCCCGTAGAAGGAAAATTAGGAGGAAGTTTAGAATAATCTTCACATTGATCATCATTTGCATTATGCACGCCGGCCAGGCCATCATCATCATCATCATCTGCCCTTTATTTCGTCCCCATTGCAGGGGCTCAGGCCTTCCTTATGGATGGTTAAGGAGCATAGGTCATGACCCTCCACGCTGACCCAATGCGGATTGGCGGGTATTACGACTACAAATGCAGCCGTGACAAACGACTTAACGTGCCTTCCGAAGCACGGAGCAGCTCGAGATAATAATTTTTTGGTCACCCATCCCGTGACCGACCCTTGAGAAAGTTGCTTAACGACAACGATCGCGTGCTGCGCGTGACTATTATATTGTTATTAGGCCATGGGATACTACAATTACGATAGTCCCGATAACCATGATGAAGCCAAAATATGTGATCCTTTTTTTCAGAGACATGTTTCGAATCATTAGCACACAATCCAGACTTTAATTTGATGCCATCGGCGACATGTGCTTTAAACAAGCTTTGTTATAATATGATTAAAAAAGGTACCAACTTTGGGTACCCTATGTCGCTCAGGTGATATTTATATTTCACAAATAACATTAGTTTTTAATTAAGCCCCTTTTATCTTTAAATTTAAATAAATCGAAATGTAAGAGCTATGTCACAATCGTGAAGTTTGATGAAGAAGCGTAAAATTACATAATTACTATGTTAAGATTTATCGCAGCTAGTTTTTATGTAACAAAATATTCTATCAAATGTCCGCTGTAGTTTCGTTGGATGGTACGCATCCGAAGAGTCCAATTTTGATGAATCAAGCTGAATTTTGCCCACGTTGATTGTAATTGAATCTGTTGTGGTTTGGGGTTTATTGGCATAGACCTGAAGCACTAGTAAATCATTCAAAGAAAGGTCTATCAGGGTAAAATCGCATCGTGAGAGCATGATAACCTCCATTTGAGATGATCTCATTGTTCAAAATATCATCGGTTTCAGGTGATTTTTTTCTTCAGATCTTGCGTATATTCAATCTCGAGTGCGTGGACACTAATAAAGGACCACATTGCGAAAGATCTACTGTGTAGGATGATTGTAGCGAAGCATACGGAACTGTTTCCTGCACAGAACACACATTTGATAAAACAATTCTATCACTTGCATGTGTCAGACGTTATATTTGTTAATATGGAAAAACGAAATGAGATGTACCTTCAACGATTTTATTATCATTGTGAGGAAGTCCTTATTGAACGTAAATTCTGTGATCTTATTAATAATAGTTCTTTTCATGTATACAGAACACATCTTGCTGATTGTCTTGGACGAATGAAATAAGGGAATATCTGTAGGGGCGCGTGATAAATAATCGCAGATATTCTAATAATGCTACTCTTCTCACACAGACTATCTCCAGTCTCGGGGGCGTGGCTGAATAGTCGCTATGATTTTACTGAGTTATTTTTAATAAAAATCGTAAAACTTTTTCTTAATCGTAAAACCTTTTTTTAGATTGCTGTTCATAACAAACGCTCGACACGGTCGTGGTTGTTACATATTTTCTATGCAAAAAGACCGGGAGCTTGCTAAAAAATTATGTAAAATGGCGTATAATGAAATCAAATTTGTAATAGAAAAACGTTATGATATAATCGATTTGATCCTGGAGCTGAGTAAGTAGAGCAATTTAATAATTATATTGTGTTATTTGATTTTAAGATGTATCCCTGTACATTTATTATGAAATTAATTTCACTTTTTGAGTTGTGTGGTCAGGAAATACTTATATGAAAGTAAAAGATCATTCTTTTGTCTTCCTTCGACAATCGTTTGATATTATAATTCATTTTGCAGATTTTTTGATGTGTGATTTTACTAAATAAGAAAAATCGGTACGTGGCCAAAAGTGACAGCGTATTTTTTTTTAAATCTTATAAGATTGGGAAACTTGTAGCTATATTAAGACTATTAGTAACTTAGTTAAAAGTTGTAATGGACATAACATTTTATTTTCAGTTACCCTTTGCGCATTGGACGGACACCCTCAGTTCCTCCGAAAGGATTGGATGGCTAATTTTCTCCGATTCCAAAATAAAGACGGATGTTTTGGTGTGACTGTTCCATCAGAATCCGATGTTAAATCAAATACACAACACGAAGCCTCAAAAAATTGGATTCTCTTGAAGACAAATCAGCGAATAGGAGGCAAATATTGCAATGGACACGTAACATCCGTTGCTGCGGCTGCCCTTGGTGCCGCCATTAGATACATTTTGGAAACTTATTATTGAACTATACCTACAACGAACTGTTAAAGTTATGTAGACGAATAGTCTTTAAATCTGGAATGTAATTTAAAATATTATTGAATGACCAAAATTGCTGAGAATTGATGTAAAAAAAGAAAATAATTATATGAATTCCACACATTTACAGAATAACGAGTTTCACAACCAGTTGCACAAACGTCGATTAAAATTTTCATTAGTTTAAAGCGACATTATCCATACAAATTTGACATTTCATTAGATTCATTAGAGCCTAAAGGCGTCATTAAACCTTAATAGACGTTTGTGCAACTGAGCGAAAGTGACATAAGTTATTTTTATGCGTTTTATTAAATCATTAAATGGACTGCATACAATATTTTCATACTAATATAAATTATAATACTAAACTAGTTTTTATTTTAACCGTTATTCCAACTTTGTCACGCTCTCGATCATCAACAACGTAAATTTTTGAGCTCGACGATGACGAATTTATATTTTGATAGATAGGGAATTTGGATATATTGAAGTATTGGTCTATATATCTTAAATGAAATCTGAAATAAAATAAATTGATTGACGAACATTCTCGGCAACAATTATCAAAACAAGGATCCAACAACATAACATAACAAAAACAAAAGACTCGTGTGGCATTTGCACTGTAGTATCTACAGGAGTTGCTAGATATTTATACCATGAATAAGATAATAAAATTTTATTGACGTACAAGTAAGCTATCTATATATATATATATTTGTTAATATGTAAGCGATGTTAAACGTATTATGCAAAGGTAAAATAAGAAGTTCATTTAATTTTTTATAGTTTATGACAATTCATTATTTTTATAGAACTGAATAATAATCTCTTTCCGTTTTGAAATTGAATTATATGAACCTATAAAATACGGAACAATTCACCATAATAATTGCAAATAACCTTTATTTATAATGTAATGCAACCTCCGTACCGTTTTAATAGATAGAAATTTAATTAACATATTAAAATCATATAAAGTACTTGCCTACATCTTAATAACCTAAGAGTGCTTTATAACGACATACTCTCCTTCCTTGTGCCAGAGGAATGAGAGGTCTGTGACAGCCAAACGGCCTCGCGACATTATACCAATGCCAACCGGAACATGCAACCGCCATAGGCGTTGCGTCACTTCCGGTGTTACGGGAAGGAACACCCTTCTCTGTCGCTGGACGCCTGTTCAAAGGAGTTTGATGATTTTTATCACGGATAGGTAGGAATAAGACGCATACGGTGTTGACGTTAGTTTATAATAGTGATGGAACCTCTGCAAATGGACCGAATACTATTTTATCGAATGCGAAAATCTAATTTACTATTCTGTGAATACAAATAATCCAGTTAGTGAAAAAGAAATTTATATAATTTGTGTAAATAATAGACACGCCACTTTGCCATCGGTCACAGGAACTAAAAGTAATATTGTGCATGTTTATTTGTGTTCCATAGATACGGTTCACAGCAGAACTAATTTATTTTACATTTAGTGTTGCGATACATCATGATATTCGGTAAATATTAGTATTCGTATTCGATGCATCACTAGTTTATTATTACTTACTAAAACAACATACGCTATACGCAACATACGATACCTGTATCGCACGAAATATTTTGAACGATTTCGTATCGAGCACGTGTGTCTAATTGTTGAGTTGATATTAGCACATCGCTCAAGCGTCTGGTTATACAGGAATGTCAAAGTTCTGCAATTATATTCATTAAAAAAATATATATGTCTTTACGAGTTGACAATTTAATTCAAAATATATTGCGTACATTTGACATTTCGTATTAACTTGTGCGGCTATGTGTACATGCCACCTACATTTCGATAGGAAACTAAGATTTCCTATATAAAAATGTTACATTTATACTTGTTATTCGAGTTGTAAGCGAAGTTTCTTAGTAAGAGTATTTTCGAAGACCATGAAATGGTTTCAGGGATTTCCCTCTGTACCAATATTTTTCAAAGTATTAGGAAACATAATTACAATAAAATATGGATAATTATTTTATAACATTTTCTAAACATATCATGTTCAGATCAACGCGCGATCAAATCATCTAATTCATGATTTATTGACATCGGCTGTTAAATCAGAAAAGAAAAGATGTCAGAGCGCTATTTTGAAAAAAGAAAAAGGTTTGAAACCCTTTAGCTTTTTATTTACGCCAAAGTGCCTATCTCAATATTTCCCATTCTTTTTCCACGATTCCTTGACAGGTTTTCCGTTTAATCTTTTGTCATATGCGGTTGAACATTATTGTTTTTAAGGTATTTGCGTGGAGAATAAGCTATTGCTTCCAACGTTCCATGTGTGCTTCAGAAAATTATCGAATCTTATAATTTGTTCGAGTGTTACATATAATCTATTAATTTTCAGCAAATATTTTTTTATTATTCTACTGCAACAAGCCGTGAAATTAGACAAAGCTTTTCTATGAAACTAGTACTTGCATATTTTCATTTTTTAAATACTTGAAATTGATCAAATATGCTAGTCACAGAGGTCGTAAAAGCATTATTTTGTAATTCATAATACGACAAGAAGTGTATCATGCTTATGTATCTTTATTATACAGTTACGATTATAGTTGTAATAGATTACCGGATGGAATTACAAATTGCGCCTAGAGCAACAAACGCTATAATAAAGGTAACTAACTTAAAAAATGTTTACCATTACGAGCAACTTTCTTTCATCTTACGTAACGTTCGGTGTGTTGTTTTTACACATTCAATTATAAACACCATTCATATTATTTTACGTGCTCGATGACGTAGTAGTTGGGCGTTCGGCCTGCAACTAAAGAGGTTAAGCAACTTTCGTGAAGGCCGGTCTTGAGATGGGTGACCAAAAAATAATTTCTCAATATTTTCGTGGTTCGAAAGGCAAATTAAACTACTGATCCCGTTGTTTCTTTAACACCCATCAATCACTGCATGCACTGGGTTTGATTTTTAATATATGGGGAAGGCAATAATGTAAAACAATCTTTAGTCATTACTTTGCGAAAAATTAAAATACATACAATATGGCATTTGACGCAACAATAGTTTACTGAGCATTGTATTTATTACTGCTGCATCAATCATAGCAGTCACGCTGTTCCCATAAGAGTCGTATAAATTATACAACTGTCAACATATTAGCATGTTACACCTGCTCGTAAATCAGTATTAGAATAGATTCCCGTCTTTAAATAGCCTAATTCACTTGTCGTCTTATTAAAATTCGGGTCGAGTTCCTATGGGAGCATCCCACACAATCCATTGTGTTGGTCCCGTTACTTTGCACCGTGTTCTTGCATTTTAATATACTATTTTACTGTAAACGTTCCTATGTTCCCTTTTTCGCTGAAGAATGTAATGTGGTAATTAGTCTTCGAGCGATGGCACGTTCAAAACCAGAGCGTGGAATACATTCGACTGGTTTAAAATTAGCGTTTGTTTGAATGAATGAATTTAAAAATTGTGCATTTAAAATAAAGCTCTATTTATCAAACAGCCAAGTCACAAAACAATGTGTAACTACTCAATGCTTATAATTGCTAAATGATAATATATTAAATATATAAATAACATAGTGTTTTAAAATAATTAAATAAATATCATCATCGGCCCTTTCACGTCCCCATTGCAGGGGCTCAGGCTTTCATTATGTATGTATAAGGAGGATGCTCCACGCTGGTCCATTGCGGATTGGAGGGTATTAACTATTGGAAATGCAACCAGGAGCAACGGCTTAACGTACCTACCGAAACACCTCCGTGTTTCGGTAGGTACGTTAAGGAGTACCTCGAGATGATAATTTCTTGATCACCCATCCCGTGACCGACCATTGCGAAAGATGCTTAACAACAACAATCGTGGAGCGCGGTGTATATCCATTAGATTACCGAGCTACTTAATGCACAGTTAAAGGCAAACAAGCACTTAAAAATACACTTAATATAATGTAGGCATTAGAAGTTTTTAACATAATTTAATGTGGAATGTCACGGTTCTTTCTAATAGGATATTAGAGCTGTTATTTTATCTCACCCCCTGGGTGAGGGTACACTAGACTTCTTATCGGGTAGGCTCCCCAGGAGACACAATGAGGAGACTTTCATATAATAACCTCACTTGCCCGCGGCGCCGTATGATTAAAACTTAATGGCGTATTTACACCGGCCGATTACATTCGCGTGCGGCCTGCGGGCGATTTCTGTTCTTAGCGTTCATTTAGCTTTCCGCCAGCGACTTCGCCGGCGTAGTCTTGCATTATATATAAAAACCTTCTTTTTGAATCATCCTACCTATGAAAAAAAAAACTGCATCAAAATCCGTTACGTAATATTAAAGATTTAAGCATACACAGGGATATAGGGACAGATAAAGCGACTTTGTTTTATACTATGTAGTGATTGAGATTAGCAAGTATAGGTCAGTCGAAGTCCACGACTCCTACGGTAGAAAAATTACAATCATTATTAATAAATTGAAATAAATATTCTACTATAATCTTTAAATGCGGAAAACGCTTTTATTTTAATGATTACGTAAGTTTTTTTTATATATACTTATTTTTTTATTTTAAATTGATTCATGTCTCGGCTTTTCGAGCTCAACTTAACTGGCTTCCTATCCGTCTTCGCCGTGATATGCACATCCATTCATTCCTTTTCAAAATTCTTAAAGATCCTAATTCACCCGCATACCTGAATTCCCGTTTCCAGAAGCTTCCTCCCCCATCCCGTCCCCGGCGGTACTGTGTTACCAAAACTTTGGAGCTGCCTAAAAGACTGCCCCTCTATCATATCTTTCAAAACTAAACTCAAGGGGCACTTTCTAGCACAATGTTCGTATTCATAGTTTTTTGTAATCATTATTATTTTTATTTATATATGTATATTATATAATATTGTTTATTTATGTATTCTTATTTTTTTATTGTTTTTTTTTATAATGATAATAATCTTTATTTTATTTTCTTCTACATTTCGAGCAACAAATGTGTACAACATAAAAATACAGCATGCCTATATGTATTGATGTTAATATTCATTCACATCTTTAACAATTATGCACTTGTCAGTCTCCCGTTACTGCTTGATCTCCCACACCGCCTGGTTGGCTGGAAGAGATCTCTTACAGAGATAAGCCCACCCTTGCTTGTGATTTACATATTATTGTAATGTTAACTTTGTTTTTTGTGCAATAAAGAGTATAATTTTAATTAAGGACATATTTTGAAAACTGAAATTAACATAATTATAAGTTATGTTATACGCGTGAAATATGTCATTGTTTAAAAAAATATCTAATGTATACCTACATTTTGAACAAATAGTGCCATCGATTTATTGACAAAAAATAAACAATGAAAGAGGGAGAAATCACTATCAGTGTTTGCGTAAAGTTCATTCACTCGAAACATTTTTAGCAGTGGCTAAGTACGTGTGCAAAGTGTATAATGCAAATCATCGTCCGGAATCGAAAGTTCGCAGAACACATCCACTTAGACTAGACAGGAAGCGAGAAGCCATAGCACTCCAAATAATATATTCCTAGTATACTTTATTCGTTGGAATATTATAACGGCAAATATTATTTGGTGATTTAACCATCTACCATTCAGTGTAAATTCTTATTGCCTTTAAAATTGGCATATTTATGATAATTTTACAAAAAAAAAAATACTGAGAATATACCAGCAAATGTATATTTAATTAAGAAATATAAAATATATGAACTGTTCTATACGTTAACGTTAAATCAGCTATGTAGTACTTTGTAAAATCCTTTAGCATAGTAGTAGTTTTATCTATAGCATATTTTATAAACCCTTTGTTTCGTCTGAAAAAAACAGGTTATCCTAGTTTAGGCATGTGATGTTAAAAATCGCTATAAGTATGTTTAGATCTTAATAATATTATATATATAGACTAAGAAGATTACAATATTTTTTTTTATTATTTTATAGCGGAACGGAAAATACAGCTTTACATTATTAGCTGCATTATTAGTGCTGAGTTGGCTTGAAACGAAAACTTCAATTATCTACCA